TGGGGGACTCAGGGTAGTGTGTGGGGGTGCAGGAATAAGGGCAGAGGGTGGTTGTGCAAAGCAGGGGGCTCAGGTAAGGGGGGGTGAGGGCTAAGGATGGGGATGAAGGAGTCAAGACAGGAGATTGGAGCTCAGGGCCTGGGGAGGGAGGTATTGGGAGGGGGCTTAAGGCAATGGATGTGCACAAATCAGGGCATGGGGCTGCCGCAGCAGTGGGGTCAGTGGCCAGCAGGGCTCCCCCGTAGTCTAGCTCAATAGCCAAGGGCCGGTAGAGGGGTTCGGAGCAGTCCAGCCACTTATCTGGTCTAATGGCCAGCAAGATGTTGAGCTCCAGCCCCAACTGGCCACTGTCTTGCTGGTGCAGCTGCCCCCAGTGATCACTCAGCAATACAGCTCTCCTCCAATCAGTTCCCTTCCTTTCCATGTTATGGAAAACAATAGGGCTACGTCTAGACCGGCATGATTTTCCGCAAATGCTTTCAATGGAAAAGTTTTTCCGTTAAAAGCATTTGCGGAAAAGAGCGTCTAGATTGGCACGGATACTTTTGCACAAAAGTGCTTTTTGCAGAAAAGCGTCCGTGCCAATCTAGATGCGGTTTTGCGCAAGAAAGCCCCGATCACCATTTTCGCCATCGGCGCTTTTTTGCACAAAACAGTTTTTAGCTGTTGTGGAAGAAAACAAGCCTTCACTCTGCGTTGTGTTTAAGCAACAAGTAGCCAGAGGCAGTTTTATTATGAGCTGCAGCAAAGGAAAAACTGGTTCGGACAGGGGGGGAGCCCCCTCCCCTTCCGAGGCAGATCTTCGAATACAAGCAATTATGAAGCAGTTTATATACTATCTATTAGATATAATAACAATTAGTCTCCTTCCCATTACAAACACCAATGGCTAACAGTTATTTAGTTCCACCCAGATGCTCCTTATCTCAAGGCCCCTGCCAGAGTCAGCATTCTATCCTTATCTCCGTATGGAGGCGAGAGGCAAAGGCAGCGTCTAATTACAGATCTCGCGTTGTCAGGCCACAGACTTAGCCTGACTCTTGCTCTCTTGTTAACAAGACCAAGATGGCTGCAAACAAATTCCCTTATTCCCTTTTCCTGCCTCCACAATCCCCCCTTTTGTGCTTATAGCACAACTACCCTTCTAAACCTTTATTTTCATTAAACATTACATAATTAGTACAAACTTAAAGCTATTTCTATTACTACATCTTTTACAACAACAGTCAAATATGAAGCCTTTAATAAGCAAAAGCAATATAATCATTAATATCCCCAATATAATTCTATGATGGGGCTGTTCTATAATTTTAGTAACATAACACAACATATCATAATTAGTAACCAAATTAGGGAGGGCAGGTACATGCTGATGGTACCTGTCCATAAGCACAGAGTCCAGATCAAGGGGGGGAGCTCCCCCCTTCCGAGGCAGATCTTCCCTTGCTGCAGCTCGTAATAAAACTGCCTCTGGCTACTTGTTGCTTAAACACAACGCAGAGTGACGGCTTGTTTTCTTCTACACAGTCTGTACTGGCCCTCTTGCACAAAAGCATTTGCGCAAGAGGGCTTTTTCTCGAGCGGGAGCAGCATAGTATTTGCGCAAGAACACTGACAATCTTACATTAGATCATCAGTGTTCTTGCGCAAATTCAAGCGGCCAGTTTAGACAGCTTTTTCTGCTTTTGCGGAAAAACTTGCCAGTCTACACGCAGCCTCGAAGTCCAGGCACATCTCCTTTTCCTGCCACAACCAAATCCTGACCTTGCTTTCAGTTAGGCTAAGAGGAAGCTGCATACCAAATATAGTGGTTCTAGCTGTTACCTTTTAGGAGGAGTTCTTGAACAAATGGAGTCACAGGTGGACAGACAGACAGGTGCACATTTCTAAAATATATAGACAGATAATGCGGCATATCTTCTAATGGGTGCTAAGTCAACTTAATGTTATTTGAAAGTTTCTACCCGCATTGCCATTGAACTCACTTAAATCAGAACAATTTTAGCAGGCGTCCCATAAATGGCATAGGGAAATATGGCCACTCTAGACATAACCAGAATAAGCTGGTAAAAGTAGAAACAAAAAAATCCTAGGAAGGCAAACACTTGTTAGAAATAAAAACAAATTATACAATTCCCCTATAAATAAAGTTTTAAAATGTTTGTAATAGAATAGAAGAGAATAAAAGCTGTTTCTGTAGATTACTGAGCACGAAGAAAAAAAGTAGCCGCTTGCCACATGCAAAAGAGGTATCAAACACAGTCCTTGTAGTTAGACTAGAACTCTGCATGTCAAAACTTGTAGGCTGTTTTCCCAGTGTTCCACTAACGCACTGTGTAATCTTTTAATAAGTCATCCAAGTGCTGAAATTTCTCTACCAGCAATAGGAGAACAGAACTAACTTACCTCACTAGAGCTGTTTTAAGACCGAATTCATAAGAGTTTTGAGATCCTGGAACAGAAGGTGCTATAACAGTGTTATTATGTAAGTATTACTATTTTCTGGCTATTTTACAGCTTTTGGATTTTTCATAGGAATATTTAGACCAGAACACCATGGCCCCTCAAGCAGGATGGCAATAGCACAGATAGAACTCATTCTCCAAAACTTCAAGCCTCCTACCACACTAGCTAAAGGAGTACTACTTTTTAGTTTTTAACAGTGTAAGACCTATGACCAAGAGTGGTCATACCAATTTCATCTAGCAGGGGACAATAGCACATGCACACACTGGCCAGTGAGGGTGCATCTACACTGCACTCTTAGCTTGGAATACACTGCACAATTTGTGCTATGCAATTTGTACTCTTGAAATAGAGCTCTATTCTGAAATGTCCCTTAATCCTTGTGGATGAGGTTTACAGGGACATCGGAATAGCATACCTGTTATTTCAAAAGCTACAAATAACGGGCATGCTGTCAAGACATGGAAATATCCCAAAATAGCGCCACTATCTAGATGCACCCTGACAGTATAGACTGTTAATCTCATATCTGCTTATTCTATATCTAATCCTTGTTGTATAGTGGTTTAGTACACAGTAAAAAAATGGAAGACAATGGTACTACTTGCTGTTAAATGTACAGTTATGTAGTACTGAAAAAATAAAGATTCATGCTTAAATATGTCATGGACGGAACTGTTCACTGACTCCATGAAAAGTCTTGTATCATGATTATCTCATTTGAAGACTAACCTTGTATTACAGTACATCCAAAACTAGACCCAAACTTATTGACACAGCCAGACTTTCTGGTTACATGCATTACCTCGGATGCACCTTTATTTCATAGCAACTACTGCAAACATGAATATCACAACGAAAATGTGGGCAAATATGGCACATGCACAAAGGCTACAAAGACTTGTTAAACCATGACTTTCATTGTATTCATGTCCCTTTTGTGTTTGATTTCCTCATATATTGTTGGAAGTAAGTTTACTGGCAGAGATGTTTGCTGACAGAGTGAATTTTAAGCAGTTTTTGTTGACTATGAATGGAAAATGAATTCTAAGGTCATCATTGTGTGTATTTGCCCTGGCAACTTAATTCTTAGTATTACATTCACCAGAGAGAGAACACAAGCACAAGTCCTGTCGCCAAGCAGAATAGCTCAAAAGTTGAATATCGCATATCGTGAACAAACTGCTTGTAAACCCATTACAGACCAAGCTTCAATTAAAGAAAATACTTAGTGAATTAATTTCATATATTCAAGAAAATGGCAGTCTATTTATGAACAATACTCAGATGACCCCTCCAATTCATGAATTGTCACATGTTGTCCTCATTGCTAATAAGTGTGTGTACATTTATAATTGTGGGGTTTTTTTTACTACAGGTACTGTGCATATGCTCTTGTATGCCAAGGAATGTAAAGTTAGATTATTTCCCTTGTGATGAGTAGCTGATGACCTGATTTGCAAGACACTGAGGCACTATTCTTTTGATATAAGTGCTCATTCTGTTTCATTGTTTCTTTTGGTTGTATCTCTGGAATGTTCCCCAGAAAACCAGTTATCAGCTTCAAAGTTGAATTCATTCCAGATAACCATCCAAAGTCAAAAAAGCTTAACCAAGCCTCTTTGGGCAACATCATAGTTGTGGAACTCATTTGTTCTTCTCCAATGATTTCTATTTCCCATTATTGCTGAATATCAGGGCTACAAAATGGAACCATGTACCGCTCTCAGTCCTCAGTACATTTCCAAATGTTAATAGTAGGAGGGTAGCACAAAGACTCAAAAGTAAGGTACAGCCCTTATCTTGTAAAAAGGGCCCAGTATTTCCAAAGTGATGACTGATTCTGGATGTTTAAACTGAAGCAGCTAGTGCCTGTTTTTTGAGGGATACTGAGCGCTCATGACTCCAAATGAAGCCCATGGGAGCGCCGGATACTGAGTGCTTCACAAAAGTAGTCTGTGTGTGTCTAAAAACTGAGACTTAAAATCAGCGATTCTTGAAATGTAGGCCTAACTTTATGCTTCATTTGTTGCTGTTAACAGCCAATGTAAATAGCTGTGTGAAAGATGGTGTTTGTAGTGCACACACAAAGCCACACTGATGGATAGATTGTCAGCAGTGGGGATTAAACCTAGGACCTCTGGTTCTAAAATGTGAGCCTCTACTGCATGTGAAAAAATAAGACCCACTTCTGTTAGACAAGGCTATAGCAGGCTCATCAATCACTAGCTGTGTGGCTCAGCTACCACTAGCTGGGGACAGAGTGCCACACTACATGGGGAGGGTGTACACACATCAGCAAGTTTATTAGGTTTACAAAATCCAGGATCTATGCTACATAGTCTTCAGAATAACCTACCGGCACCTTATCCATTAACTATTTACAAATATGCCCATGCACAGCACTCGCCCAACTGCTGCTCAGTGCGTGGTAAAAAATAGGACACTTAAACTATTTCTGTCGTGTTGGGATGTACCAAACCTGCACTGGGCCTGAAAGAGTTTACCAGGCTATCTGGCTGAGAGAGACTCACCCCAATAGCGCTGCAGGTCATGCTTCAGCTGGAGGACAGGTATAAAGGCCTGTGGAGCAGCTCAGTCAGGGCTGACTGCCATGGAGGAAGGAGTGGCTGCCAACTAAAACCGAATCAGTTTTAATCAACCTGTAAAATAAGAGAATGCCAACCTAAATTAATTATATGTATTTGTCAGTGTTTTGAAAAATGTAGAGTGTATTGATTTCAGTTACAACACAGAATACAAAATGTATAGTACTCACTTCATATTACTATTTTGGATGACAAATATTTGCAATCTAAAAAGATAAATAATTCATCTCAAACAAATACTTTAGTGCCGTGGTCACCAACCAGTAGATCGTGATCTACCGGTAGATCTTGGAGGCTCTAAGAGTAGCTCTTGAGCCCTCTCTGAACTGTGCGCCTGCGCAGTACATTTACATTAGATTTCCTCATTTGAGGAGCAGCTACTCACCGAGCAACAGCACAGGTGAGTAGCTGCGAGAAATGGTGGGAATTTTTTTTAAAAGTAGCAGTATAAGGATTGGGATAGCAAGTGATGGAGAGGAGGAGAATAGAGAGGGCAGGACTTCAAGGAAGGGGCGGGGCGGTAGATCTTGGCTTGGTCTGTCATTTAAAAAGTGATCTTGGGTGTAAAAAGGTTGGAGACCACTGCTTTAGTGCAATCTCTTGATTATGAAAGTACAATTCACAAATGTAGAATTATTAATATTATTGTTTATGTAATGGCATTAAAAACAAAACAAAGTAAAACGTTAGAACCTACAAGGCCACTCAGTCTTACCTTTTGTTCAATCAATTACTCAGACAAATAAGTCTGTGTACATTTATGGGAGGTAATACTGGCTATTTCTTATTTACAACGTCACCAGGAAGTGAGAACATGTGTTTGCATGGTACAGTTATTGTTGGCGCATATCTGGGAAGTAAATACTAAACATTTGTGTGCCCCTTTGTGCTTCGACCACCATTCCAAATTACAAGTGTCCATGCTGAATTTAAACTGGTATTCTTTTGTTTAACAGTGTGATTAAAACTTTGATGAATCATGACTTTTAAAAATGTCACGATTAATTGCAATGATGTTTTAAAATAGTTTGACAGCCCTTGTGCTAACATAACCCAGTAAATAACAGCATTAACCAGCATTAAACAAGATGTGCGTTTTGGTGTACATGGTTAGCACCATGGCACATGCATGATTAAAAGTCCTTTTAATCTTTTATTAAAAATAAAGAAAAGGAGAAAGAGTTAAAGCATTTGAAAGGTATGCTTCATTGTAACACAATTTCTTGTTCCTTTTCTCATTAGTTGGAGAGAGATTTAAAAAAAAAACCCTCCCTCCTTGTTTGACAGTTTCTGGGAGAGTAACAAAGATAATAACTGTTCATTTGGAGAAAAGGGAAGCTAGTTGAGATGATCTGGAGATATCTTTGCTGCTTTTTTAAAGTCTGATCTTGAAAGAAAAGCCTGCTTGTTTGATAGTCTGTTAAGTGGTATCAAAGTGGTAATAATGGTCATCCCAGGTGGTGTTTAAAATTTAGCTGATGCTGGCAGTGGTGTTGATGTCATCTGGTCTGTGCTGGCTAGGACACATCACAGGGTCAGCGTGCTGAAGGCCCTGGGTGCCAGGCAAATTATGGGGGTGGCAGCCAGGGTGGTAAAGCTCACTCCGTTCTTTCCATCTTTGCTTCATTAATACTCGTTTTTTAATACTTTCTTGATGAAATCTTTCTTTTAAGCAAGCAATGACAGTGATGGGTGGAATAGTCCTTCTCCATATTATTTTGTCCACCAATTTTGATTGATTAATTTTGGGCTCCTGTTTCTAGCCAGCATAATTTCAACACATTCGTTCATAGCAATTTGGCCTTGTTTAGACGAATCAAGTTATTCTGTGTTCCTTTCATACTTTTCCCCATCATCTTTTATTTTTATAGGTTATTATAAGATCTTATGAACCATTACATATATTTTACAATTATGAACTCACAAAGCAGGTACATTTGTAGGTCCAGTTGGGTATGTCTACACAGCAGGGCAAAAGTTGAATTAAGATATGCAACTTTAGCTACATAATTGCATATCTGAGGTTGAAATAGCTTATTTAGGCTTTTGGTGCTGTCTACACAGCAGGAAGTTGAAGGAAGAACACTCTTCCTTTGACTTCTCTTACTCCTCATGAAATAAGGATTATAGGAGTTGGAGTAAAGTCCTACATCTTGACATTATTTTGAAATAATGACTTGCTGCATAGACAAGCATTTTGTCAACATATCGCTGCTATGTAGACATACCCATTGTGACAACAGAAATGCTCAAATACTATAGCAATGGGGGCCATATAGATATCTTAAGTAAAACCTTATAATGACCTGAAGGCCCACTGTTGCCCAAGATAAGATGCCAGAATGCTGTTAACTTGGGGACAACTTATAAATGTGGAAATACTGCAAGTATTAAAGATACAGGAAAGCCAATAGAAGCTGGTAATCCTAACATCATTAGAATCCTGCACAAAGATAAAATCTGTATTTGCAGCCACACCTGTATTTGCAAAAATGAGCTGCAGATATCCGCACTGATATCCATGGATGAAGATATCTGCAAACTTGCAGGTTCTAGACACAACATTTGTATCAGCATCCATGTCCACAAAAATGAGCTGTGGACATACACATATGTGGATACCCATGGATATAAAATAGATATCTGTGGATTTGCAGAGCACTACTCATCATACCCTGCTAGGAATATCTTTTGTCTGAGAAGTTGTATTGCTCACTATTAGAGGATCCCAGTTTAAGAAATGATGGAGAGTTTCTTCCCTGAACTTCTATTCCCCGATAACTAAGGCAACATGCTTCACTGTTTTTGTAGCATCTGAAGACCCCATTAGGGATCTAGATCCATTCTGCTGGGCACAGTATAAACACAGTAAGAGACATTCCCTCCCTTGAAGAGTTTACTCTAACACATGACATAACACATAACATAACAAACAGAGGGAATGGACTAGGGAAATACAGTAACATGATAGAAATACAACTTAACTAGGCCAGCCATGTTCTCAATTAGCAAATTTTGAGACAGGTTTTTTAATTTTGTTTTTTAAGATACAAGTTAAACAAGAAATGTTAATGATGTTGGTAATCCCTATCGGCCATCTGCCTGCTCATTAACTTTGCTTATTTTCCTAAGCCAAGGCTGGGCCATCACTTTGTGCTGATGCTCCAAGCAAATATCAGTAGCAAATGATCCTGTTAAGTAAGTGCAAATGCTGGAGGCAGTGCTGAGGGCAGAAAATACAGGATGGACAAAACCTATAACCTTCAATGCTATTTGTTGCTTGAGCACCATTGGAATACTAATTCACAAGGGTCTATTTAGCCAGCAGTTGTCTGACAGCAAAATAAAATATATGTCCCTTTTTGATAGGAGATCTGTGTTTAATCATTGCATGCTGTCATTTCTTATATCTGATAGAGGATAAAGCATTTGACATCATGAAAGAGTAAAAAGAGCAGACCAAATTAATCTTAACACCAATGGAGTTCTTCCAAGGATGTATTTGGCCAAATGTATCCATAAGAAGTGGGACTTAATACTTTTAAACCTTACTTAGGGCCTAACCCAACTTCTGTAAAAGTTACTATTAGCTGGTCTCTAAGGGTATGTCTACACAGCAACGTTATTTTGGAATAACTGACATTATTCCGAAATAACATAGTGCGCGTCTACATGACAAGCCTTTATTTTGAAATAATGTCGAGCTGGAGGACTTCTTACTCTGACTCATGGTAACCTCATTTAATGAGGCATATGGGAAGTTGAAGGAACGGCGTTCTTCCTTCGACTTCCTGCTGTGTAGACTGTGCCAAATGCCGAATTAAGCATTTTTGACTTAAGCTACACAATTGAAGTTATGTAGCTGAATTCAACTTTAACCCTGCTGTGTAGATGTACCCTAAGTTTCATTTAGAAAGTAATTAAAATGTGACAAAAATGTGGTTGTTATGCTTGGCTGCTAGAAATCTAGTTCATTATCCATTATCAGCTTCTGATATGAATTACCTGCTGTAGCCAGACAGACTCCTCCCCCCATATCATCCATCTTATTTGCCTCTCTGAAGCATACAGGGCAGAGAAGGAGCAATAAAATCAGCATAGTCTATGCTGGTTCATCTGATCCTGAGAAGCTGAAAACATAGATATGAGGAGGGGGAGAGCGATTAAGGCAATAAGCTGGCCTCGAGGCTGCGAGAAGTACCCAGCTGGCACCCATGTTGATACGAACACGCAGTCCCTGGGGCTATGTCTAGACTGCAGGCTTCTTTCGAAAGCATCTTTCGAAAGAGCATCTTTCGAAAGATCGCGTCTAGACTGCAGGCGGATCTTTCGAAAGAGAAATCCGCTTTTTCGAAAGAGAGCACCCAGCGAGTCTGGATGCTCTCTTTCGAAGACGGCCTCTTTACATTGAAGAACGCCTTCCTTCGAAAGAGGAACTTTCGAAGGAAGGCGTTCTTCCTCGTGAAACGAGGTTTACCGCCATCGAAAGAAAAGCCGCGTTCTTTCGAAATAATTTCGAAAGAACGCAGCTTGAGTCTGGACGCGGGGGAAGTTTTTTTGGGAAAAGGCTACTTTTCCCGAAAAAACCCCTGAGTCTGGACACGGCCTGGGAGAGGAATTTCCCACTAAGAAAAGAATGCCCAGTACTTCCAATTTAGTTATCTCTCTTACAAGTGTAAATTAAGTTCACAACTCCCTTGTAAGAACTGGTTTCACAAAAGACAGACCAGCACCATTTGGCATGACAGATAAGAAAGAGAAATACGTGACCCAATGGGTATAAAGATGGGTACAGCAGCACATTCACTTTGAGTGTCATTCTACCCTCTACCTGCTGGTCGGGTTAGGTATTTTGACCTCCCGAGGTTCCATGAAGATGCCCACCTCGTATTTTCGTCTTTCCTAGGAATTGAGGGACCGGCCCTAGCCTGACACGCTGGAGTCGAGAGGCACAGAAGGGGGTAAAAATTGTACCTGGTATGGTCCTCTGTCTTAAGTGTACACAGACTTAGAGCTCTTTAAAGATTAAGCTGTTATTTGGTACTATTATTTCC